ACTAAGGCTCTGATTAATTTTCTGCCCTACTGCCCTGCAATATCTATGCCCTCTTCCTTCGTACTATTTCTTCTTCTGTCCTTTCTTTCTAGTTTCTCCAACTTAGTTTTTTTTCCTTTGTGATTACACTTTTTTCTTTAATTGTTTTTCAAATCACCAAAGTAAAGCAAACATATTTTACCTGTAAAAGATCCAAACTCAAAAATATATAGAGAAAAAATGTAAAGTTTCCTTTCCCACGCCTTCTCCCTTTCCTAAGGAAACCACTGTTAACAGATTGGCGTATATCCTTTGGGGGTCCCTTCCTTAGAGTATTTACTTACAAACATATACATATACACAAACACCTATATGTGTTTTTTAAACAAATGAGATGCTACTATATGTATTGCTCTGCTAGTTGCTTTTTTCTTTTCATAATATGTATTGTAGATCTTTCCATGTCAATACATACAAGTGTATCTCACCCTTTTGAATTTACTACCTAGTATTATTTAACTACCTATCAATACTTATTAATAATTTTTACTGTTGTGTTGTGTAGTGGTGATGATAACAAGGATGATATTTGTATCAATATATGTGTATGGGTGGTAAAGCTGAGGGAGAGGAGAAGTATAATAAATGGGACAAGCTTGTAAACTCTCCAGGACAGAGGGAACTCTGTAGGCACTGGGCTAGGTAGATAACTTAGTAGATAAACTCAACATATATGCAAAACAGTAAAGTAAAAGTTCAAGGCAGGATATTAATAAGATTTACAATGAATTGTAGAAACCCAAGAGAATTGAAGTCCACACAAAAACTTGTACATAAATGTTTATAGCAGCATTGTTTATAATAGCCAAAAAGTGGAAACAATGTAAATATCTATCAACTGATGAACAGATAAACAAATAGTCGTGTGCCCATACAATGAAATGATATTCAGCCATAAAAAGGAATGAGGTACTAATATATGCTACAATATGCATGAACCTTGAAAACATTAAGTGGAAGAAGCCAGTCACAAAAGGCTACATATTACTTGATTCTATATATATGTGTATATGTTATGCATATATCATGTGTAGAATAGACAAGTCCATACAGATAGAAAATAGATTAGTGGTTGCCAGTGGCTGGAGGTGGGGGGAATTGGGAGTGATTCCTAATGGGTACGGGGTTTCTTTTGGGGGTGATGAAAATTTTCTAAAATTGAATTATGGTCATGGTTCACAATTCTGTGAATGTACTGAAAATCACTGAGTTGTATGCTTTAAAATGGTGAATTTTATGACCAGTGAATTATATCTTAATAAGGCTATTATTTTTAAAAATTATAGAAATCAAGCACTATAGGAATTCAAGAAGGAAAGATAATGCCAGGGGCATGGGGGGCACTGGTGGCTAGAGTTGCTGGAGAAGGCTTCATAGAGGACTTGCACTAAACCTAAAAGATGAATATAGATTCAATATATTGATAGATGTAGGGAACATATATCTAGGCAGAAAAAAAGAACTTAATGAAATTTTCAGCACTGAGACTAGACAAGTTGTATGATAGTACAGTAGGTAGGAAGAGTCTGAAGGAGGGAGGAAACAAGACTATAAAGTCAGGCTTTTAATGCAGGCTAATGACCTTAAATTTTATCTAGTAGCTGACAAGGAATCCCAGAAAGATTCTGAGCAGGGAAAAATGTGATAAAACCGGAATTTCAGAAAGATTAATATGACGTATTTACAGAGGAACAGATTGCAGAATAAAGACTTAAAAGATTGCTGCAATAATCAATGCTTGAAACAGTGAGAACTTGAACTAAGAAAGTAGTGAAAAATAGAAAGGAGAGAGTAGGTAAGCAAAATGCTGGAACCAGTCAACATCCACTCTATGTACTATGTGTTTTCCAACCAGAACAGGCTGATAGCCTGGAAAAGGGCAGAGTTACCTGCCAAATACTGGTTTTGCCACTGCTATTTTGTTGACTCAGGCCAACAGGATGGACCAGGATTAACTGCTCACTGCTCCAAACAGCACAAGCAATAACTCTACTGCAGTAGGTAGACTTAGCCTATCTGAAGGAATTCAGACCAAGAAAACTGGTTCCAATTACTTTTCATTGGTAAAAATTTTGACTTTTTGAAATGATCCACATTTATAAACATTCAAGTTCTTAATTATCTTCCTGAATGGGAGCACCAAGCTCTTATAAATTACTTTTTACATAAATGTTTACCTAGTATTTACCATGTGCCAGTGCTTTACAAATATTACCTCATTTAATCCTCACAACATCCTTATGAGGTAGCACTATTATTAGCCCCATTTTATGGATGAGAAGCTGTAGCATAAAGAAATTAAGAGATTTTCCCAAAAATAACAGTAAGTGGTGGAGCTAGGATTCAAACCTAGACAGTATGGCTCCAGAATCCACGGTCTTAACCACTGTGCCTCCCATATGACCTTGACTTCCTAGCACTTACCATAGATATAATTTGACATTTCTCTGTGCTATTATTTAATGTCTTATTACTTAATTAAAGGCTGTCCCTCAGTAAACCATCATCTCCATTAGGTCTGGGATTCTGTCTAGTTTTGTGGCTACTGTATTGCCAGCATGTAGCACAGTGGCATTTGGTGATCAATAAATATTTGTTGAATAAATTAATCAGTCTTTATTGACTATCACATTCTTCATTAACCTTGAACTTACTGCCCCCTAAAGTATTTTGTCCTCTATATTTTCTTTTCTTAAAAAGTTATTTATTTGTTGAAGTATAGTTGATCTACAATGTTGTGTTAGTTTCTGGTGTATAGCAAAATGATTCAGCTATATGTGTATATATATTCTTTTTCGGATTCTTTTCCACTATAGTTTATTACAAGATATTGAATATAGTTCCCTGTGCTATACAGTAGGACCTTGTCATTTACCTATTTTGTATATAGTATTTTGTATCTGCTAATCGCTAATCCCAAACTCCTAATTTATCCCTCCCCCTCCTTCTGCCTTTGGTTACCATAAATTTGTTTTCTATGTTTGTGTTTGGTTCTGTTTTGTACATAAGTTCATTTCTATCATTTTTTTAGATTCCACATATAACTGATATCATATGATGTTTGTCTTTCTGTCTGACTTACTTTACTTAGTATGATAATGTCTAGGTCCATCCATGTTGCTGCAAATGGCATTATTTCATTCTTTTTTATGGCTGAGTAATACTCCATTGTGTGTGTATATATATCTATATCTGCTTTATCCATTCATCTGTCAATGGATGTTTAGGTTGCTTCCATGTCTTGGCTATTGTAAATAGTGCTGCTATGAACATAGGGGTCCATGTATCTTTTTGAATTATAGATTTGTCTGGATATATGCCCAGGAGTGGGATTGTTAGATCATATGGTAGCTCAATTTTTAATGATTTGAGGAACCTCCATAATGGTTTTCCACAGTGGCTGCACCAATTTACATTTCCACCAGTGTTAGAGGGTTCCCTTTTCTTCACACCCTCTCCAGCATTTGTTATCTGTATATTTTTTGATAATGGCCATTCTGACCGGTGTGAGGTGGTACCTCACTGTAGTTTTTGATCTGCATTTCTCTAATAATTAGCAACGCTGAGCATCTTTTTCATGTGCCTACTGGCCATCTGCACGTCTTCTTTGGAGAAATGTCTATTTAGACCTTCTGCCCACTTTTTGATTGGGTTGTTTGGGGTTTTTTGTTGTTGTTGTTATTGAATTGTATAAGCTGTTTGTATATTTTAGAAATTAAGCCCTTGTTGGTCACATCGTTTGCAAATATTTTCTCCCAGTCTGTAGGTTGTCTTTTCATTTTGTTTATGGTTTCCTTTGCTGTGCAAAAGCTTATAAGTTTGATTAGTACCATTTGTTTATTTTTGCTTTTATTTCTATTGCCTTGGGAGACTGACCTAAGAAAACATTGTTACGATTTATGTCAGAGAAATGTTTTGCATATGTTCTCTTCTAGGAATTTTATGGTGTCATGTCTTATATTTAAGTCTTTAAGCCATTTTGAGTTTATTGTTGTGTATGGTGTGAGGGTGTGTCCTCGCTTCACTGATTTACACTGTCTTCCATATTCTCTGTTCATAAGAAGATGCAGGAGAAATTGGTCAGTTAGCCTGTTTTCCTCAACCCTCTCTCTTTCAGCAGTTCTGAGAGTAGGAGAGGACTTCTTGCTTTTTCCTTCTATTGGGAGCTCCCTGACTTCCTCTTCCTAGAACCAGGGCCTGTGCCCTTGGAATGGGCTCCTTCCAGGAATCAGACAACTGCATAATGACAGAAAGTAAAGAAGGTATAGTGTGGCGTTAAATCAGTGACCTAATTTCATTCTCTGCACCTTCTCCACTCCTCAAAAGGAAGCCTAAATATAGAACTACAGTCTGGCTTGCTTTCTCAAAATTTTATGTTAGAAAAAGATTTCTTTTTTCATGTCAGGCAGCTTCATTCTTAAAGGTGGCTTGGGTGTGATTACCCCAGCTCCTTTTAGTACTTTGAAACACCACAGGAAAGCACGGAAGTGGTACAGAAATCCTCTCTAACACCATAGCCAGATCCACTTGCTCTGTTTGCAAAGTCTGCAAAAGATGACTTAATTAGCCTCAGCAACTGCTTTTCACATTAACCACTTCTTTTTTAGCAGGAGGCGGTTGTGAAGGATGGGGAGAGGAAAAGGAACACATGCTTTCCTGATGAACTTCCAAATAAAAGTACAAAATAAAATAAGAGTACAGATAAAAGAACAAAAGATGAGCAAGTATAACTACTCAAATTAGAATTCTCAAATGACAGAAAAAGGGAGCTTGAAATTGTAAGTACAAAGTATTTACTTCTGCAAAGTATATTTCCTTTCCTGGTCAGTTTGCTAAAATGGTAGTTTGGTAGGTTGGCCAGTCTATTTATCTGTCATACGTGCAAGTGTACACACATGTGCGTGCATGTGTGCACTTTTTAGAGGCAACAATAATGACATACAGACTTAGAGTTCACCTACCTCCATTTTGTTTGTCCTCACTTTCCTTTTCAAATACAGACATTGCAGAGTAGTTCCAGTTAAAATTCCCTGGGATTTCTGTAAAGGAAATAAAAAAATTTAGAAGGGGAATTTCTCATTGCCAATACCATTTTACTTAAATGAATGTTTAAGAAACTTGGAACTTGATCTCTGAAATCCAAAATAAATCTACCTCTAAAATACATATGCTAAATTTTAGAATTCATTTCACACAGCCTTATCATAAAGTTATATTTCCAAAACTTGGGAAACAGATTCCACTTCCTGGCAACCAAATCTAAGCTGATAACTATAATCTGCCAGAAAAATTAGCTGAAACTTGGAAACAGGAAAAATAAATCATTGGGTGATCTTTTAGTGAAGTTCTGGGCTTACACCTTTGATTAGTTTTCTGTTGGACTATTCTATAACCCCATATAGGGCGGCAGTTAACTTGTAGATTTTCATCTAATATAGATATAAATATTTTCTCTCTGGTGGAAAAGATAACTCCAAAGGTTATGATTAATGTACTTTAGGACTTTAAATAGTTTTGTATATAATTGAGAAATCTTAACTTTTTTTTAATGAAATTGCCTATATATACACAGCTCCTAAATTTTTATTTGAACTGGTCTTAACATCTTACTGGTTCCCTCATTAATTAATGAGTTAAATAAAATCTGTGACACCTGTCCATTTTATATTTACATGAGAGTCATGTTTTTTAACCTTTTGAAAATTATGCTTTATCAAACCCCATGACTATGCTACACAGAAAACCCTTCTATCTCTCCATTCTTAACCCAATTCAAAAAAGGCCAAAAAAGTATGTTTATTTTAATTAATTAATTTCTTTCAGGTCTCCTAAGTCACTAAGTATGCATAAGCCAAAACTAGAAAATATTACATGTATTTTCATCTTAATTATCCCAAACAAGATTAGATGGGACAAAAATCCATAATTTGCAGGGGAGTGTTAAGTCTAAGTAAAAGAGTATTTACAGCCAAGGGATGTTTGGCTGTCAGAAAAAAAAATTACCTGGGCAACTGTGATCACTTTGGAATGAGAATGCATCTTCCAGTTCTGCCCTCAGTGAGTCCCAAGTGACCTCATTAAGGATACAATTCATATTTCAATAATCTAGGCAGAGTTGCATCAAATAACTTTAGGAGCCAGGGAGTTAATAGCAGTTAGGTGTAAAACAACAAGAAACGAAGTGCTGGGCATCGTGACCAATTGGTGAGTGCATGCTTCCTATAAAAGCATCCAAAGTTTTTAAAAAGTAAAATTAAATATTGTGTAGGCCGAAAAAATTCACTTGTGCTGCAAATTTTGTACCCCAACCTAAGGTCTGTTTCTTCTGTCAACAGAATCTGTGTGTTCCTAACGAACGTGAGCAGTTCTAATAGCATCACTCTCTAGGCACCCAGTCCTACCTTCAGTTGCCTGAGAATTCTCAGGGACCCCCACAGTAGGCTTGGGGTTCCTACTGTTGAGAAAGGAGAGCCAAGGATGGGAGGTCCTGAAGTTCTGGATTCTCTCCAACCCCTGCAGGGCCATCAACAGCTTTGAGAGGGTAGCCTGGCCAAATGCACACAAGCAGCACAGCTTGGAATTTGAAATGGTTGTGACACTTAACAGCCAGCCAGGGACCTGAGTAATGACTATTTAGCTGGAACCAGGCACTCACCCAATCTTGTGACGCTCTCTACATGCACATCACATTACATAGCTGCCAACTGGAAAATACATTTAAGCTGTTAAACTCAGAGGAGGAGGAGGAGAATGTGAGGGTAGGGAAGAAGAAATGCGATGTGGGAGGGAAAAGGGAAGAGATGGAGTAAAAAAAAAGGATTAGGAGCTAGAGAACTGGGTTTCATTTCAAAGTTTGCTACTAATTAACGACAATGTGACTTGGGGCAAGTTATTAACCACTTCATGCCTTAAATTTCTTCTAAAGTGAGAATAATTTTTTTTTTAAGAAACAGAAAATAAATTTAGCAGATACAAGATGGAGAAAAATCTGATAAGGAATAAATTTGCCAGAGAGAGGTTTAGAGGTAATTATGTATTACAAACTAAGTACAACATTAGTTTCCATTAGGGAGCTAAGAAGAACTGTGAGAGGATTAAATTAAATAATGTATGAAAACGTCTGCCACAGTACTTGACACAAAGTAATCAATCAACAAATGGCAATGTTTTAAAATTTTAATATACACACCCACCAGCTTAGTAAAAAAAAATTTAAGTCTAATAATATTGTGCTAGAAAGAAAGTGGAACCACTGGAACACTTACATACTGTTGGTGGTATTAAAAATGGGACAAACCACTCTGGAAAACAATTTGGCCTTATCTAATAAAGTTGATGGAGAATTTACCCTATAACCCAGCTAGTCCATCTTATTTATATACCTAGGGAAACTGTCATAATATGTCACATACGAAGATGTGTGCAGTAGCACTGCTCATAACAGCAAAACTGGGAAACCAGCCAAATGGCTATTAATGATAGAATAGAGAAGTAACTTGTGGTATGTTCATAAAATGGAAAGCTACATAGTAGTGAAAATGAGTGAGCTAAGTTATACATATTAACATTGTTAAATCTCAGGAATATAATATTTAGGGAAAAAACAAATTGCAAAAGTATACATAAAATATTATGCCACTTATGTAAAGTTAAAGATCATGTAAAACTATATCATCAGGGATAAATACTTTCAAGGTAAACCTATAAAGAGAAACAAGGGAATGAAAAATACCAAATTCAGGATAGAGGTTAGGGAGAGGGAAGGCGATGGGATGGAAAAAGCATACGGAGTGTTTCAAGCTACATTTGTGCTCATGGTGTTACTCTTTACAACTTACACATTTGTGATAAACTTTATATCTATTCAATATATGATAATAACAAAAGAACTAAAAAATTAAAGTGAACATACCAGATAGGAAATACTCTTCTTATGAGGAAGAATAATTACTCTGGAGAGTAAGTTTTATTTTTTATTTTTTTAATAATTCTATTTTAGTTTTTTCAGCTGCGTTGGGTCTTTGTTGCTGTGCGCGGGCTTTCTCTAGTTTCATTGAGCGGGGACTACTCTTCTTTGCGGTGCGTGGGCTTCTCATCGTGGTGGCTTCTCTTGTTGCGGAGCACGGGCTCTAGGCATGCGGGCTTCAGTAGTTGTGGCACACGGGCTTAGTTGCTCTGCGGCATGTGTGATCCTCCCGGACCAGGGATTTAACCCGTGTCCCCTGCATTGGCAGGTGGATTCTTAACCACTGCGCCACCAGGGAACTCCTCAGAGAGTAATTTTTAATTAACACTTACTAAAAGAGTTGGCCCAATTCAGGTTACTATATGAAAAAAATTTTTTTATTTTGAGATAATTTTAAACTTACAGAAGAGTCGCAAAAATAGTATAGAGAATTTCCATACACTCTCCACCCACCTTCTTATGTTAATATCTTACATAACAATTAAACAATTAACAAACTAAGAAATTAACCTTGGTATAATACTATTAACTAAAGTACAGAAAATATTTATTTTTTTACCAATTCTTTCCACTAATGTCCTTTTTTGTTGTTGTTGTTCCAGGATCTAATCCAGGATCCCACATTACATTTAGTTGTACGTCTCCTTCCATATGTGACTGTTCCTCATTCTTTCCTTGTTTTTCATAATCTTGAGAGCTTTGAAGGGTATTGGCCAGTTGTTTTGTAGAAGGTGCCTCAACTTGAGTGTGATGTGCCCTTCTCATTGCATCATATCAGGGGATACATGCTGTCATATGGACTCCTAGTGATGTGAACCTAGAACGCTTGGTTAAGATGGTGTCTGCCAGAGCTCTCCACTGTAAACTTACTATTTTTCCCTCTGTAATGACATGGTTATAGAAACTAAAGCTCTTTCACTTAGACATGAGAATCTAAAGGTAGAAATAAGAGGTTCCACCTTGAGCTGATAATCTCCAAGCTGCCTGTGATTCTGTGCTGCCAACATCCTATACCCTCCCCACACTTATTATATACAAAAACTGGCAAATTTACTAAGTACAAAGTATTAGAGAAAGTCTTTATATATTTAGCTCAGTCTGAAAACTACATAAACTAAAACACAATGCAGTCTAGCAATGGCATATTTGTGATATAAGAATAGCCAATGACTCTTAGTACTAGAATATCATAGACTGCATGCACGTAAGTCATTATTGGCTTTCAATGAACAAATCTGTCTTCCAGAGAGTAGAGTTCTTTACCAACAAGGGAATAAATCCCTGGTTGACTTGAAGGCTTTTGGGAATCTGAGGAAAGGACTGTCACATAGAAGCAGATGTGCCCATCATCCCCTGACTAAAATAAGAACTATGTTTTCCCCAAAACAGTTGTGTAAAATCATGGAAGCTTCCAGTTTACTCCATTAAGGTTTCTCTGCGTTAGCTATTATATCCGATGCACAAATCCCCAGAGTTACTCCAGAAATCAATGTTCCCCCAACCCAATTCCCACCCCATGAATCTAGCAAAGGTAACAAAAGTTTTCTTTTTAATTTTTTCTTTTTTAAAAAAAAAACGCAACAGAAGCACATATACTAAAAAAATAAATAAATAAATAAAAAATAAAAAGCAAGCCTTACCCTGAAATGCTTTTAAACGGCACAGCCTGAAAACTGCCAGGACTCTACACTACACCTCTCTTCTCAGTTACAGTTCCTGCCTTATCCCCTCCTTATTTCAACCATAAATCCTTTCTGACTGGAAAATGCTCTAGGAAAACAGAGATCTTCTAAACTTAGTAACTTTAAAACTCTGGGAGGGGTAGGAAGATGTTGAAACATCTACTAGTCTGTGAAGCCATTTAGACGACTAGATCTCCTTCAGCTTCCTACGTCTGATTCTCGGCTTCTGGGAACTTGCCAAATTTTTTTTTTGTGGATTTTGAAATTCTGTTTCCTCTAGATAGGGAAAATGAAGAGAGTTTCAAAACCCTTGTTTGCAAACTGCTTCTTCCAAAGGTGGTTCATGGACCCCTCATAACCTTTCCATTAACTTGGATTTGGTTTCAAGTGG